AGCCAGCTGGCTGGGGGATTCTGGGAGTTGAAGTCCACAGGACTTAAAGTTGCCAAGGTTGAGAAACACTGACCTAGAGAAAACAATGTCAGTTTAAAAGTCAGGCGAAAGAAGCAAAAGTTGCATTTCCCCCCCTCCTAAAATGCTCTATCGATACTAAATACGCATATTTCTTTTTACAGAATGCGCACAAGGAATAGATGTAAAAGCCGACATTGTGCTTTTGGTTGATGGCTCCTACAGTATTGGCATTGCCAATTTTGCTAAAGTGAAAGCATTTTTAGAAGTGTTAGTTAAAAGCTTCGAGATTTCACCTGAAAAAGTCCAAATAAGCCTTGTGCAGTACAGCAGGGATCCATACACGGAATTTCCTTTGAACAAATACAACAGAATTGACGATGTAATTCGAGCTATTAACACCTTCCCCTACAGAGGTGGCTCTACCAACACAGGCAAAGCTATGACCTACGTCAGAGAAAAAGTCCTCATCCCAAACAGGGGCGCAAGACCAAATGTTGCAAGAGTCATGATTCTCATTACCGACGGAAAATCGTCCGACGCTTTTAAAGACCCAGCCATAAAACTGAGGAACGCAAATGTAGAGATATTTGCAGTCGGCGTTAAGGATGCTGTACGGTCTGAGTTGGAAGCCATTGCTACCCCTCCTGCGGACGCCCACGTCTACACTGTGGAAGATTTTGATGCTTTCCAAAAAATATCATTTGAACTCACACAGTCTGTCTGTTTACAAATTGAACAGGAACTTGAAGCGATTAAAAGAAAAGGTAAGGTGGTGTTTCTTTCCATGTCGACATGTGTTATGAAAATACTTACGGAAGAGAGGGAACAAACGATAAATAGCAGCATGTTGTACTACTACTCTGAGGGAAATTAAATGTTTAAAGCACAGTTTATGGATTGTTGTAGGGATACGGTGGCTCAGTGGCTAAGACGCTGAGCTTGTTTGTGATCAGAAAGGTCGGCAGTTCGGTGGTTTGAATCCCTAGTGCCGCGTAACAGAGTGAGCTCCCATTACTTGTCCCAGCTTCTGCCAACCTAACAGTTCGAAAGCATGTAAAAATGCAAGTAGAAAAAATAGGGACCACCTTTGGTGGGAAGGTAACAGTATTCCATGCGCCTTTGGCGTTTAGTCATGCCGGCCACATGACCACGGAGACGTCTTCGGACAGCGCTGGCTCTTTGACTTTGAAACGGAGATGAGCATCGCCCCCTAGAGTCAGGAACGACTAGCACATATGTGCAAGGGGAACTTTTACCTTTACCTATTTGGATACCTTCCACATCCCTATACAGCTCATCAAAAGCTGGTTTAAAGTTTAAGGTGCTTTCTGGTAGTGGCTTCTGATCATGTTCATCTGATAAACAAACTTAAAATAACTCATGACTTGTTTTAAGTTTGTTTCTTTTTCTAGCAATGGGTGAAAGTCATTGCCAGATGACACGAGAACTTAAAAGCCATATGGAGCTACGGGGAAAATTACTATGTGGAATCTGTTCCCAACCTATCATAAATAACCCTCTCTGTAAATAAAAATGGGGAAAACATTATACTTCGGTCAGTAATGTTTTTGAAATATTGAATGGTATCATTTAAAAGAGTCAGAAATTAAGCATGGAAAGAAAAGCGGGGGGGGGGGGGGGAATTAATAGAGCAACCTACAGGTGGTCTATGCTTAATGACCAACAATTTGAAGTTACAGCAGTATTGCACAAATGGTAGTTATGGCTGGTCCTTGGAATCAAATCTTCAGTGTCCCTATGGTCAAGTGATCAAAATTTGGGCGCTTGACAGATCTGTCTGCATTTGCAAACCCAACGAGTGTTTCAACTCCTCCGACCTGACTTATCTCTCCATCATCCCAATCCCTTTGAGTGCCATGCATTCT